TCTTTTGAGTTACCATGCTCCAGGCCTTTTCTGTCCATTTCCTTGCTTCTTGAATGGCACCTGATCGTGCTTGCATTGACTGAGAGATCACTCAACGGAAGCTGTGACTCCCTGTCTGCCTCGCTTCTCTTCCCCTGATCAGACTTTCCGCTATTCACAAGAGTGCTGCTCTTTCCACTTGCCCTTGTCAGACCAGACTCAGAAGCCGCACGGATCTCCCTTTGCTCTCCATCTGCACATACCACCAGCCTCTGCATTGCTGCTACTGCTGCTTCTCGCTCTGCCATCCTTCCAGCCTGACCATAATAAACTCCACCTCCAGTATCACCTGTTGCAGGGTATCTACCAAGAACACCTGCTCCAGATGCTGCCATCCCTGGCGGAACCAATTTTGTGATGCCACCTGCCATGTGATCTGGTCTCCTGCTGCCGGGGTGACCAAAATTGTTGTTGCTGGGATAACCTGGCCGACCTGGCAATCGCCTTGTGGGTGTCCTTATTCCGAGCCGCTTCCGGCGAACGCTGCGAGCCTTGTCTCCTCGTGCGTGCTTCTCTCCAATGACAGCGACTCGCTCTGCCTCATTAGCCCATCTCTGCAATCACAAAGGACAGGGGTTGAAGGAGATTGGTCAGGAGGACCCTAAGCAATCATCATGGAAAAAATCCGCTGAGAGCGATGGAGAGAGCGTGAGCTCTTTCAGCAGGTGCACAAACACAGTGTTTTCCTGAGATAGTTGAGGACAAGGGAGAAAGCTTGAGCCTTGGAACAGGTGTACAGCCGTGAATGTGCTTTCTTGAGGAATCCGTAGACAAAGCTTACTTGTCGAAACGTTTTGTGTTTGTACAGAAATCTCCCCTTTACAAGAAGCTGCTTCATAGGAGGTAGCGCCTGTAGCCCAGTGGTCCAAATCACCTCCACCTGAAAGTTGAGAACAGAGAAACGGGTTAGCAGAGCAAAAGCGAACGAACCTGAAAGTAATGAGTGGTAGCAAGAACCCTCGATACCATCTGACAGTGATGGAGAAAGGTGATGCTTACAGTAAAGGTGTGCTGTTGCCTCTTTTCACCATAACTCTCCATGACCACTCGACCTGCTACCATCCGACACCCAAGGCACTTCGACTTCTTGCTGTGTCTGCACGGACCATTCAATGTGATGGAGAGACGAATTGGGTTCATGTGGGAAACAGGCAGGACAGGAAGAAGAGTTGGATCATGGTCGAGACTCACCCTTTAAATATTCGCTGTCTGAAAAGGACGACATCCCTCCGGCAAACATCGCCTGCAAGAAGTTAAAACACGAAAAATCGAATGGAGCTCGTCAACATAGGCCACATGCTGTCAGGAGTGTCATCCTTCAATCATGGTGCGTACAGGATTCTGGACATCGTTGTGTTCTTCAAAGCTTTATATATTGAGATAATTCGATCACCTGTACAGTTGATGGAGAAGGAAGCAGGTGGGTACTTTCGCATGGCTGACGCGACATCCTTGATTCTGTAGGGATGAAAGTAAGACAGAACAAGACACGTGACGACGGTTAGTGTACTTTTACATGTCAATGATCAGCTAGACGAGTTCCGTACGAAGCTTAGGACATTCGCGGCCGGACATTGGGAAACTTACTCCGCATGCTCCTGAATGCGGCTGATCAAGTCTGACTTTAGTCCGCTCATCCTTAAAGAATGATGTCTCAGATAAGCTTTGCACAGCTCAACGGTCAGTTTGCTCCAATCTCCCGCTGCCATCAGAACGATAGATGCTCAGTGCAACAGCAAGCCAAAACCAGATAGAAAACAATGACAACTTCTGTACGAATCGAACCCTAGCACACGCCTCACCCTGAATCAGCAGTAATGATTTGTCGTAAGCACTGGAAGACGAAGAGCATGTATCATCAGTGGTATCGTCGCCAGTCTTCTTCCTCGAACTCTTAGAGCTAACAGTCTTTGAGGTTTTGCTTTTCGATGTTGCCTTGTTTTCCGACTCGTTGTCTGAAAGCGTTTCGGCGTCATCCACCTCCCAGCAGCTATCATCGCTGTCACTGTCGCTGCTTTCGCTGCCATTGTCGCTGGATGTTTCACTCTCATCGTCAATAAGCAAAATAGACTCGGATTTTGACTCTTTATCTGTCATCGTACTGTCAGTTGTCAGCGCTGTCTGGTGGTACCACGCTGAACGTAATTTACCACTCGTGAAGGCGGGTAAAGCCTACTGACTTCTAACTCGCAAACTAAGTCGTGTGCTACCCTGAAATTTGATTGACTAATAACTTTCAAAGCTGGAAGCAAACGTGATATCTCCTTTGCGCTATTCGCTGAGAAATTGTTTCAGAGATTTCCTCCGTGACATTGACGACTGCGAAGCTAAGATAAGGCTAAGCAAGGCAAAACGGAATTTGTATCTTTGTGCTGTGCAATCCTGAGGTTCAATGGCGCTGGGGAGGGGATGGGATGGGATGGGATGGGATGGGATGGGATAGGATGGGATGGGATGGGATGGGATGGGATGGGATGGGATGGGATGGGATGGGATGGGATGGGAGGCCAAGTGTGTGCCCATCGCATCTCATGAATCATTCATGATCCGTGATGATCCGTTTCCATGCAGCACCACCATGCTCAGCACCCTCCTGAGACGACCCAGGTTTGTGTTGATTGTCAGAGCTGATTGTAGGGGAGCGGATTGACGGTGCGGATGGGATGGAAAGGCGTGACGAGAAATTTAGGCAGTTGGTTCGCTCCAGCCGCGCACATTCCAAGCCATCTTCTCCCACACTGCCAATCAGGCCTGGTGGTGTCTCTGACAAGCGAGAACGCTTCGGGTTCGAAAAGGCGAGGGAAAAGGGAAACACGCATCCAATTCATCTTTGCACTTGTCTTGTCAGGCATTGCGCATTGAATCGAGCGTCAGGACGCGGCACCTGTAACACCGATCCTGCGATCGATCCTGCGCAGGGTCGAATTTTTGCAGAGTGAAGAACTGTGTTGAGAGTTTCAGATGCTTTCAAAGGATTTCAGTGCGGTGCAGTCAGCGACCCTGAGATCGATCCTACAAAAATGCAAACAGGTGCCTCTATTTCATCAGATCTGCACCCTTCCCCGCCAAAACACTTCACCCCCCACTTGTCTCGTAACGGGTAAGCCGCAGCAGCACCAGAAAATGAAAAGACAGCAGCTCCACAACGGATGTTGCCGCTTTATTAGCTGCAGCACTTCCTTTCAAAGAAGCCGACATGGCTCACATTTGGAGCTAGAGCTGGTCACTTGTACTAGTTACAAGGTTTCATGAATAGTACTCAGTTCTTGTTGCAAGTACTTGACAGGCTGTGCACGCTAAAATATACGGCAGTGCACCCGGTGAAAAAACATCATGTCGGTTGACGCGCCTATTTGCGCGACTAATTCGCTCGTCGGCCACAAAGGCGAAACCGTCCACGACAAGGCGACTCCCATTGTCAAGGCTACCGAAACGGGGAATGGAGCGAGCTCGAGAGGCAACGCGCCGGAAGCCGCGAGCGTGCGGGCTCTGAGAAACAGAACGGTTCACGCGGGATGCTCCACGTCCGACGTTTACGCCAAGGCGTTGTCCTTGATCCAAGGTACGCTTCATACACCGACTTTAGGTTGGTTTCTCAAGTCGCCTAAAAAGTATCCGTTCCAAGCCTTTGCTGTTCAATCTGCAATCTAGTATTAAGACCGTTGGACTTTTCAAGTGTCGTTACGTCTCGCAATCAGGTCTTTCATGCACGTCAGGGCGCATTTCGTGTAAAAGTCGTAGCACGCAATCCTGGGTGGTGCTTGTTGGGATGGCAGCGGCCGAGTGGAGCGAGATGACCGTTGGGCAGTGCCAGGCGTACCTGCGGTTCCACCGCCTGCGAGTGAGCGGCGCCAAGCCCGTCCTCATCAGCCGCATTCAGGAGCACCTCGAGTGAGTTTGTCCGCGCTATAAGCTGATTCTAACTCCGCCTCCCCACTACCCCCTCCCTCTCTCCGTCCTCCTCCGTTCCCCCGAACCAAACACTCTGGAGAAGAGCTTTATTCAGTGTGAGGATTTTTCAATGTTGGTGCCTTTCAGTAATCGCACTAAAGCATTCTAATGTATCCCTACGACAATGCTTGCTATATTATAAAGCAGTGAACGCTTTCACTGTTGACTACAAAAGCCAGCTGTGTCCGTTTCTGTCTCTCCTCGCCAGGATCAGCGATGTCGCGTCAGCCATGCGCAAGTACCCACCCGAATCCTTCTCCATCCACTGCAAAGGTACGTACCACTTCTAACTTCCTCGCCCTCTCACCCACTCGCCCTCTCGCCCCCTCGCCCTCTCACCCACTCGCCCTGTCGCACCCTCGCCCTCTCACCCCCTCGCCCTCTCGCCCCCTCGCCCTCTCGCCCCCTCGCCCTCTCGCCCCCTGCGCCCACCCCTCCCTTTTTTTCCTTCCCTCCTAACCGCATTCATGCACATTGTACTAGCATCTCTTCCTTTACTCTAGTGCTATGAGGCATCTACACATCTGAAATGGCTCATAGGTCGCACCTTGTAGACCATACACCGCACAGTTAAGCACTTCCTGTCTGCGCATTTTTTATTTTACCACTCATTATGTGCCTTTTGTTTTTATGCTCCATTGTCGAATGTGCACGCAGGCGATGTGTGCAGGAACGACGTGGTGCTCTTCAAGCAGTGCCTCTTCAAAGGGTGAGTAACCGATTGTTTCCCCGCCTGATTTCAAGAACCTGACCCACCGTTCTAGGCCGCGTTTACATTGCGCGAAATTATGCGTGCAGGCACAAGAAATCCTGCCCGGGGTGTCTGCAAGTGGCGGGGCGAGTGATCATCGAGAGCTACGGCGAATTGAAGCAGCAGCACACCTTCACTGTAAGCACGTTCGCGTCTATCAAGAGTGAACTTATGGAAATAGCAGTGATCACGTGGTTGTGTATAGTAATTGCGAATTACTAGCTGTTTAGGCTTATGTGAATCTTTAGATCTTATTTTTATGTTCATATTTGAATTTCAATGTCAGGTGGAGGTGCTCTGGAGCTCGGGCTTGCAGCCATTGCCGCCACTCAAGCAGCACATGCTGAAGGGCAGAAAGCTGTGCGAATTTTCAACGCATCGACAGGTGAGCTCGGCAGGTCACCATACTTGGCAAATATCAAGAAATTTGCAACGTGGGAGCTCAATCGAATGTGACGCATTTGCATAACGGCTGTAGCTCTTTCGTCTATGCTCTCAGAGCACGTGAGGGGAGACGCGACCCGCAGAGTTCGCAACGTGCGCGAGGCCCTTTTCCTCAATGGTTCCTCATTCCCTGTTCTTCCCTTTGCCGTGCGTGCAGCCTTGGAGCAACGAGGCGGAGAGGGTTGCTGTCCTGGAAGAGAAGCACGCGAGAGGAGGAGCAGCTCGAAGTGTTCGCAACGTGCGCAAGGAGAGGGTTCGGGTGGAGAGGCGAGCAGCAGCACGGAAAGCTGCAGGCGAGGCAGCTGTGGAAGCTGCCGCGAAGGCGCTGCAAGGGCTGGTGATAGGAGGGCTGGTAGGTGAGGGGGGTGGGAGGGAAGGGCCGTCCGTTGAAGTGCGTGAGGAACATGCAGTGGGGAAATCAGGTGCTGTTGAGAATGATGCAGCTGCAGGGAGAGAGGAACGGGCAGCTGAAGAGGCGAGAGCAGCTGAAGAGGCGAGAGCAGCTGAAGAGGCGAGAGCAGCTGAAGAGGCGAGAGAAGCTGAAGCGGCGAGAGCAGCTGAAGCGGAGAGAGCGGCTGAAACAGCAGCAACAGCCATGCAGAGACTGGCGATACGAGGAGGCGTGGATGGTGCAGGTGGGGTGACTGGGACCAATGGTCGAGGCGACGAAGCTGGAAAAGCAGCGATGCAACGACTGGCTATACAAGGGGGGGTGGGTAGTGCAGCTCAAATGAATGGGCCCAAGGGTCGAGGCAAAAAAACAAGAAATGGACAAAGTATGAGAAGCTTCCCTCAGAGCAGCAACGAGAATGAGAGAGAGGAGAGCTCAAGGAGCCAAGAGCCTGTGACTATCATAAGAGATGCGAGGGACCAGGAGATACCGAAGCAGGAGAGGGGACGCTTGGGGAATGAGAAGGGTCGGGGAGCTGATCCAGTGGCAGGGAATGGCAGGCGTGTGGAGTATGGCACGGGTGCGATGGGTGGGGTTGGTCCTGTCGAGTCTGGCAGGGATGTGATGGGTGGGGGCGGTCCGGTGGAGGCGACTGTGCTGACATACCACAAGCAGCCAATGGGAGAGGTGAAGGAAGGGAGTCAGAGAGACAGGGAGGGAGGCAGAGACAGAGGCAGAGGCAGAAACAGAGGCAGAGACAGGAAGAGAGACAAAGACCAGGACCCTCGCCCACCCAACCATCTCCTCGGGTGCGGAACAGGGAAAGGGCACAAGTGCACCCACCATGCACTCCGAGACGAGTGCGCCCGCATGGCAAGGGAAGCGGGATTCGCCGTTCAGGTTGATACGGCCCTTTGCACATTCGGCATCCAGGTGGAGGGCGTGAAGGCGGATCTCTCCATTCAGCACCCGGATTCGGGAGCGGTGTGGCTGTGCTACGTGACCGTCACTGACCCGCTGTCACCTCAAGACCCAACAGCAAGGCGGGCCGTGGGTCGGTCCGCATCCGCAGCAGCACGGTCCGAGGAGCACACGCACGGAAACCGCGCGGGGCAGGTCGGGTTCCTAGAGATGGAGGTGGAGATGTATGGGGGTTGCTCCCCCGGTGTGCTCGAATTCCTCCGCCTCTGCGCCAACCTGAGGGCGAAGCGGCTGAACAACGCTGGGCCCGGTTTACGGGTACCTGAGAAGCTCTACCAGCATTACATGCAACGCTTTTCCGTCACGTATCAGCGCGCCCTAGCAAATGCGCTCATGGGCAAGTCCCTGTCGGCCTGTGGGCCGGGGCAGCCCCTGCAGCCTACCAGGAGGAGCCTCTTAGCCTCGGGGATCTCATGCAAGTTATCGAGCCGTGGTATTAGTTGCTGTAGTCAGTTCACCTTTTGCTTGTACTTGTGAATTTCTAGTGTGCTGTAATGACCACGCATACCTATCTAGTGAAGGACCATTCGAGACAGGGGCAGAGACACAGACAAACAGGGGTAGAGACAGAGACATGAATGGGGATGGGGACAAGGATAGATATAGAGACAGAGATGACAATGATGACAAGTATGGCAGAGATAGCAGAGGCAAGAGAGTTGAGAGGTGAGTGAGAGAGAGGTGAGGTGACATGCATGACGGATGCAACAGCCAGGGCCCTGTTATTAGGGTTAAAGATAGGTGTCCGGTCTGTCGTATGACTTATGGATTTTTTTGGACCATAAAAAAATCAAGGAAGTTTTTTTACTCATTGCAGAACCAGTATCTGATTTCATTCCACATATAGTGGCTTCCTGATAAGATGTTTTAAGCATGTTTCTTACATTGCTGCACCAATGTTTTAAAGTATTCTTATTTAAAGGCATAGTCAGCTATCAATAGGTTGTTTCTACTTCTATCCATCCCCATATGCATCTTGTACGCGTTCGCATCTCACCAGCCCCACCTCACTTCCTACCTGACCCATACGGTCCACGCAGTTGTCGCTCCCATACTCCCATCCCATTCATCTGCTTTTCAAACCACCTGGGCAGCTGGATGCAACGCGGCTCGGAGGAAAGCACTGACTCTCCACTGGCTGAGAAACGAGCGTTCTGAACTGCGCGGAAAACCCTTGAACCACGCTCAACTCCGAAACTCTTCGTCCGTTGTGAGCAGAAGAGGCAGCAGCAGCAGCACCAGCAGGATCAAAATCTTTAAGGCCCAGCCACCAATGTACAAAAGGGAACAGCAGGATACTGTAACGACGCTATACGCTTCTTATTGATTCTTCTTTTCGCGACCACGTCAATTGGTTATTGCTCCTACCTACTCCTCCGGCATCTCAAAAGCCGCATTCTCAACTCCGTGAGGTTCACTGTCAGCTTTTACCATCCAATCTGACGTGTCAAAAGTCGCTTTGACTTACTGTCAGCTCAGCAGCATGGCTCACTGGAAGCGATCGGCTCTCTGCCTCCTCGTCGTCCTCGCGCTCTGCACGAGCGGTGCTCTCGCCGCGAAGAAGAGACGGTCGAAATCGTCGAGCGGCTCCATTAAGATGCCGAGCATCGACAAGCTGCAGTTCGAAATGGACGAGGCGAACAAGCGAGTGGCAGAGGCCGCTGGCGAAATGGACGAGGCGAAGAGAATCGTTGACGAAGCCATGCGCGCGAAGAGGGAGGCGGACCAGGAGGTGCGGAGACAGAAGGAGCGAATGGCGGAAGCTATTGCGGAAGCGGAAAGGGCGGAGGCGGAAGCCAGAGCGGCTGGATACGTTTTTTAGGGCAAGGCGCTGAGAGATGCGGTGCGGACGTATTCGAGCCTCTCGCCGCTCAGCCTCGCCGCTCAGCCTCGCTGCTCAGCCTCGCCGCTCAGCCTCGCCGCTCAGCCTCGCCGCTCAGCCTCGCCGCTCAGCCTCGCACAGCAAGATTCGCGTGACACGTCTCCCGTGGCGCAGACTCATGCATTTTGCATCGCTTTTTTTGGTACCGGTATATCCGTTGAGGCATGTTCCATTGGGGTGGGGAAATAAGGTGACATACAATAAAGACGACTCGAGGTTGAATAGCGGTTTGCCTCGCAGGGCCAATGCTGTTTCCGCTGGTGACGGCGACTCCAGGTACAAAGACCTCCTGTCATGATTCCATACCAGTAATATCAAATTCCGTCTCATTCACTCATCTAAATTCACTCATCTAAATTATTCAAACACAACTCACAACAATTCATGTGCTAGGAAGAACCACACACTGCCTTTGCAAAAATTCATGCACGAACCATGTACGGCACTACAAGGTCTACTTGTCACTGAGGTTGCCGTTGCTGCTGGCATCGCTACTGGTGCTGCATTCTTTGCTAATGCCCAGCTCCGCTTGCAGGCACGAACCATCCATCAGAAGGAGGTTTACTTGTCACTGTTCGTGTCATCACTGGTGCTGCTGTCCTCACTGATGCCCAGCTTCGCTTGAAGGCATGGGCCAACCATTACAAGGAGGTTTACCTGTCACTGGTGTTCACGTCACTGCTCGTGTCGTCACTGGTGCTGCTGTCCTCATTGATGCCCAGCTTCGCTTGCAGCTCCTTCACCTTGTTCTCCAGCTCATGCACCTGAGCCACTGCATTGAAAAGGGAGAGAGTGGAGAGAGGGACAGGAGGATGTGTTACAATCCTTATTGTTCAAGCCTCTCAGCCATTGTGGCCTGCAGAGTGTTAAGGGAGACAGAGAGAGGAGACATGGGCAGTGGAAGAAAACAGTGAACGTATATTGGCATGCCCGAAGCACGACTTAACACTCCCCTCCAGGTGAGGCACTGCTGCCATTGAGGAGCTTTAAACGAGACCAGAAGAATTTTGCACTTCAAAGCAATATCAGAAGACTGTGCATGGCTGTGAATCAGAAGAGGCACAGTGAAGCTGCTCAGCAACCTACCGTATCTTTTATCTATCCCAACGCACACAACCCAGTACTCTACATCCCTCACACTATCTCCCCCACACTATCGCCCCCACACTATCTCCCTCACACTATCTTTCTCCCTGCACCCCATCAAGCTCCCCATCATCTCCAACCCACTCTTCCAACTCCCTATCTCTCATCTGAATCAACTCAAAACACAAATCTACTTTGTTTAAAAATGGATTTCGCCGACCTACTCAGTTCGCTCCTCTTTCTGCCGCTCAGCAGTGTTCTTCGTGGTGGTCTGTCTCCTCACACTCCTCACGCTTCTCCTTCATCCTTCTCCCCCAGGGCAATGTTGAGTCAAACGCAACTTACTGAGTTCGCTCTTCTCCTTGTGCCGTCAGCAGCGTTCTTGGCGGTAGTCTCCTCACACTCCGCCATCTGACCTTCGAGTCAACTCGGGATAAACGCGCCCACTTACTGAGTTCGCTCTTCTCTTTTTGCCGCTCAGCAGCATTCTTTGCGGTGGGATCCTCACACTCGTCACACTTCTCCTTCATCTTCTCCCCCAGGGCAATGTTGAATCAAACGCAACTTACTCAGTTCGCTCTTCACTTTCTCCCTCTCGGCAGCGTTCTTCGCAGTGGTCTACTCACACTCCGCCATCTTCTCGTTCATCTTCTCCCACATCTGGGTCTCCAGTTCATGCACATGTGCCACTTACTCAGTTCGCTCTTCTCCTTCTCCCGCTCGGCAGCGTTCTTGGCGGTGGTCTCCTCACACTCGGCCATCTTCTCGTTCATCTTCTCCCACATCGCGTGCGTCGCATCATACTTGTTCTCCGACTCAAACCGCAGCTTCCTCAGCTTCCCCACATTCTCCTCACATTCCTCCACCTGTGAGAGGCGGGGAACGCAGGCAGATTACAATATGAATTGATTTTTCGCCTCAAACCGCAAAGTCCTCAACTTCACCACCTGACACAGGGAACACAGATGACAACAAGGATGTAATCTCTCCGACTCAAACCGCAGCTTCCTCAGCTTCCCCACATTCTCCTCACACTCCTCCACCTGGCAGTGGTGGACGCGGGGGAGGAAAGGGGGGGGGGGAGGGAGGAAGGGTGAGGGGGGTAAGGGGAAAGGGGGAAGAGGGGGGGGGGAGGGGAGTTGTTCTCCGCCTCAAACCGCAGCTTCCTCAGCTTCCCCACATTCTCCTCACACTCCTCCACCTGGGGATTGCAAGGGGGTGACGAGGGTTGGGGATTGTGAGAGGGAGACAAGGGTTGGGAACAAAGTAATGGGAAAATTTATTGTCGCAGCTTAAACGGAAATAGCCATTCCCACGCGCTCCTCTCCCTTGGGGCTGGGCCAGAGGCCTCGTTTGCGCGTGAGAGGTGAGGCGGGGAATAAAACATTCTACCTCGTTGCTTGAGTCACCTACCTAAAAACATTTAGGAGAATTTCCGAAAATTTCTCACTGGCAAGAACCCTCGTCGGTGCGCAGTGAGAGGAGAAGCAAGAAAGGAACAACTCTTGAGACGTCTCCGAGGATTGTTAAGAATTCTCGATTCTTTCTCCCTGGGCCTCGTCGACGCGCAGTGAGAGGCGAGGCAGGAAGATTCTTGAGGCGGGAAATAACTCTTGAGACGTCTCCGAAATTTTTTGTGATTTCTCGAAAACCTTTCACTGGGCCTCGTTGGCGCGCAGTGAGAGGTGAGGCGAGAATAACTCTTCAGACGTCTCAAAAGACACGCAATCAGAGGTGACGCGAGGGGAGGGGACTTTTATGAAGCGAGGGAAGCGGGGGGGAAGGGATGGGGAAAGGTATGCGTATGAATGCGTACAACCGTCTTCCGCGCGTCATCCGCGCGCAGCATTCCGCTGCGCGACGCTGGTCCTGAACGACGCGCAGCGGAGCAGAATTCTGCCGCGCAACGCTGCCCCGCGTGGTCCTCATCGGCGCGCAGCATTCACCCCCCTCAGCCCTCACCCCCCACGCGCTCGTCGTCACTCTCGCCCCTCACCCGATCGAGAATGTCGACTCACTCTGAGACTGACGAGAGTGACAAGAGTGACGCCGAGAATGTCGTCTCAGTCTTCGGCGCGCAGCCCCAAGGAGGTGCTGCTCGTCTCGTCGATCGATGTGCAGCATTCAGCCCCTCTCGCCCCTCACCGGATCGAGAATGTCGTCTCAGTCTTCGGCGCGCAGCCGCACGAGCTGCTGCTCGTCAATCGGCGCGCAGCATTCACTCCCCCCAACCCTTTCCCCCCCACCCCTCCTCCCCCCTCCCCCCGCCGCTGTTCGTCATTCTCGCCGCGCGTCAATCTCACCTTATCAAGGATTGCGTCGCAGTCCTCGGCGCGCAGCATTCAACGAGCCCACACCCCCTCCCTCGGCCCTCCCCCCTCCGCCCCTCCTCTCTTCCCGTCCCCCGCCGCTCGTCTATTCTCACCTTATCAATGATAGCGTCGCAGAACTCGGCGCGCAGCATTCAAACCTTCCCCACTCCCCCTCCCGCTCCTCGCCGCCGCTCGTCATTCTCACCTTATCAAGGATTGAGTCGCAGTCCTCGGCGCGCAGCGGGGTGACCAGCAGGCTGGCGACGAGCAGCAGCAGCAGCGGGAGCGCGAGGAGCGCGGGACGGCGAGCGGCACTCATTTCGTCGCGTAGACGAGTCGAAGCTCGCACGACGCGGAAAGCAGAGGAGAGCGAAAAAGGACGGGCGGATTGAGAGGGAGGGAGGAACAGTCGCGGAAGTGAGTGGGAACGATAGACAGGGATATATACTGAACGCGAAGCAGCTATAATCAGTAAGGCGCTCCTTCTGCTGCCGTCGCTGATTAGTAGGGAGCTAACGCTAAGAGTTGAAAATGGCGACTGGAGACACTTCTCCTATGGGCACTTGTCGCACAGGTATGTGTAATACGCTAGGCTTGTGGAAATTTCTAGTAGCGAGATGAACAGCATGGCTGGTCAAGTCAAGGCTGGTTCATGTTCATGTTCTTGAGTGTCTGGTTTCCGTAACCGCTCTAAACCGCTACTCACCAGCCCTAACAAAGTTCGACACAGCACTACCGTTCCGTCTGTAACTGGACCAATCCGCGTTTGTAACTTGCGATCCGTAGAAGAAGATTCTGGAACTTCAAACAATAACTGGACTAGTAGTAGCCAACTCGTTAAATATTAGTTGTGACCACGCATTTCAAGGAAGTGAGGACACTCATGAATATATACAATATCAGTGGAATTGCTTTGACACATGACACATATCCAGCCTCATTAGTCGGCTAGTCCAATGCTATTAGCATGGAAAATACCTTACAAAAGCTCAGAAGATCCTCCAGGGGAGTCTAGGGAGCAACCATTGTGCAGCTCTGGGTGCTTGCATGACGCTTGGTGCAGCAGCAGGGCGGTTTCCAGCGCGGTCACTCTGCGCTGCAACGCATCGACATACGCGACAGCCTTGTCAAGCATGGTGGCAGTGTCCCCATGCCCGCGCACCACCAACCGCAGCTTCTGCAGCCCCTCACTGATCCTCTCCCGCCTCTGCCTCTCCGCCATGCTCCGCGCCTTGATGCGCCCCCCCGCCATCTGCCTGTCCTTGCGCCCGCGATTGCGCGGCAACCAATCATCCGCATCATGATCCGCCGCCCCATTGGCGCCTCCGCACGTGGGACTTCCGCCAAAACCTCCAAAACCGCCAAAACCCGCCATGTCATAATCTGAATTGTCCAGGTAGTTCATGCAAGCTGCTGTTTCTGGCGCGGCCATCGCTGCTAGTGACGCAGGCGCAGCGGGTGACGCACGGTGTGCATTGGCGATGGGCAGGCGAAAGGGCATTGGCAGCGGACCATGGGCGAGCGTCCTGCCAGCGCGGTTGGCGGCATGAGTGGTAACCACTGCCAGTGGCAGCTGCGCAGCCGCATCGGGCGGCGCGGGAGCGTCGGAGGAATTAGCGCCGGGTGCGGGGCATGGTCCGCCGGCCCCGCTGCCGCGGAGGATGACATCAGCAATCGCACGGCGCAGCTGGCGCGTCACCTCCGACTCCCCCTCGCTTCCGCCCTCGACAGGCGCATCCGCGGAAGGAACCTCCTCGATCTCCGCCGCCTTGCGCTTCCGCGACCCTGCTGGCAGCGCCGCGGATGGGAGGAACTCCCTCTCATCGAGGGAGTCCGGAGAGGACGGCTCGTCGGCGGCTTCCGGCTCGTCAGCGGCTTCCGCGGCGGCGGTGTCGTCCGCGGTTGAGTCCGCGAGAGCTTGCATAAGCGCCGCGAGCAGCTGCTTCCGCGCCGCGCGCTGTGCCGCATTGCTCGCGTTCGCCTGACCGCTCTTCTCGCCGCTCTTTCCGCTGGGTTTACTGTCGCGAGCAGTCCAGGGGAAGGCCGCGGCCGGGAGGTTGAGAAAGCAGTCAAATGTTGTGTCCATGTCGTCGGAATCGGGAGATTCTGGGATGGTTTCGAGGTCGAAAATGCGCTCAAACGGATACTGATCAATTTCTGTGGGCGCCATCGTCCCGAGTGAGCTGAGAAACTGGTTCTTCCTGAACAGATCGGTTCGGGAGAAAGGTGTTGGAGAGTTGGGTGCCTTGGATGCGTGTTGTGGGCTGCTTGCCAGGATAAGTGAAAGTGAGAAGGCCGCGCAGTATTTGTGCGAAAAGTGCACAGACGCGGTCGGGGTTCCCCACAAACCAAGCCTGAACCCGTCTGCGTGGGGGAATGCGGCTGAGCGCCATGTTTGGCCTGACGTGGCTCCAAGGCTTGGCGGCGAGTCTTGATGCTGCAGGTGCAGGCCCCTGGCCTCCCCGTGAATTGCCTATCGAGGGTTTCTGTTGGCTGCGATAGCCGGCGAAAACCCAACTTGTGATGCTAGCCTGTGCCAGACCCTCCCAGGAGCCCTGCGTGGATTGTCAACTGGGCAGGTGGCGAGTGTGTTGGTTACAACTTCGCTTTCGCTTCTGGCAGAGCCTGCCCCCAATTGGGCTGCTTGGCATGTCAATGGGGTATCTCCGCCTGATCCGAAGACGACATAAAGCGCGCCTGGTCGAAATTCGCTGTCATCGCCAGCGCATTCGTACGCACCCTTCGCCTCCTTGCCTTCGATCGAGGGAAGGGATCACAAATTCACTGTAGCACCCTCGCGACTAAGGTAGAGGCAGTAATTTTGCCACGTCGGAATCACATTGAGCCCCCAAACATAAGAGCACCCTTCTATGAGCGAATGCGCTTAAATCTGAATAATGCGCCAATATCCAGTATTATATTGTAAGAGTGAAAACTGGGGTGTATTTCCTATAAATGCTGTTTTATAATAAATTGTCAAATGCGTATAACAAATCATAGCTTACGAACAAATGCGGGATCTGTTCAATCTCGCACAAATGACTCCCAACACGCCAAAATAATATGGCTTGCAGCGGCGCCACCAAACGACTTACCGGTAAGACTCTACCGGTATATGACATAGGCTGGTTATAAATCACAATGCACGCTGGATAATGTTAAATGACATATACAATTCAGTATTTGGATAATAATATGTTAACGTAGTTGTAAGGAAATTTCTTCTTCCTTATCAGGATTTACTGCTACGCATACAACCCCGGCATTTTCAAACTCTGCATGTTCGGCCGACATCTACGATTCCGAGGCTTCTCCGTATCGCCTTTGGATTTCTCTTCGCCAAACCTGCACCCAATCTCGCATTCTTAAGGTTTCCTCATAGCTAGGGTAGCAACTATATGATAAACTCATAACATGTGATATCGGATCTATTTTTCTAGTTCACCCCGCTTTTCGGTGGTAGTTTAGTGGCACGGGTTGGCTGGTACAGTAGACTGCATCACGGTTGGCTGTAAGGTTTGTTAATTCAAACCTGCCCAACTCCGATAGTTCAAGCTTTTCACTCGTCTGAAGGCTAACGATACCCGCCTACCCACTAGACGTAGTGTGCGACTCAGGGACTAGGAAACAGTTAACAAGAAGATGGCGCAAATGGCAGAAATGCAGGAAAGTATGACATTAATGACGAAGGGGGAGCATATATGTGGAGAAAACGCCTAGCTACACCAGGCGCGAGGTGAAGCGCGCTAGGAATTGCCAGTTGAAGAAGGCGATTCAACCAGCCATTGACTGAGCAGCGTCTTCATACCTTCAAGGCGTGCTACGTGGCTCGAGGCTTCAGTCAGCGAGAGGGAGTTGACTTCTTCCAAACCTTCTTCCCCACCCCGAAGATGACCACTCTTCGGGTGCTGCTGCACATAGCCGCTCAGCGCGACTACGAGCTTCACTTACTTGACTTCAGCACTGCTTTCTTGCAGGGCAGCCTGCACGAGGAGATCTGGCTACGCCGCCCTCCTGGCTTCACTGGGTCAGTTCCTCCTGGTACCCAGTGGAGGCTCCAGCGGCCGGTCTACGGTCTCCGCCAGGCACCGCGTGAGTGGCACGACACACTGAGGACGACACTTGCGGCTCTTGGGTTCGCTCCCTCTACTGCTGACCCGTCACTGTTTCTACGCACAGACACCTCGCTGCCACCGTTCTACATCCTCGTGTACGTCGATGACCTGGTCTTTGCCACTGCTGACACCGCGGCACTCGCCCACGTGAAGTCGGAGCTGCAGAGGAGACACACGTGCACAGACCTGGGTGAACTGACAAGCTACCTTGGCTTGCGGATCACCCGGGACAGAGCACGGCGCACCATCACCTTGACTCAGTCACACATGGTCCAGCAGATCCTTCAGCGCTTCCGCTTGACGTACTCCTCGCCTCAGTCCACTCCTTTGCCTACCGGTCACTCGCTCTCAGCTCTGCCTTCGGATGAGTCCGTAGAGCCGAGTGGCCCGTATCCAGAGCTTGTGGGCTGCCTCATGTACCTGATGACCTGCACTCGACCTGACCTTGCATACCCTCTTAGCATCCTTGCACGCTATGTCGCTCCTGGCCGTCACAGGAAGGAGCACATGGATGCCGCTAAGAGGGTGTTGCGCTACTTGTGCAGTACGTCGGGCATGGGGCTAGTACTTGGAGGGCGAGACCGAGTTGTACTTACTGGACACTCAGACGCTTCTTGGGCGGACGACCAGGCTACTCAGCGGTCGTCTCAGGGTTACACCTTCAGCCTTGGCTCCGGCTCAGTTTCTTGGCGTTCTACACGCTCTTCTTCTGTTCTCAGCTCCAGTTGTGAGGCTGAGATCTACGCCACAGCCATGGCTGCCCAGGAGCTACGCTAGCTCACCTACCTGCTGACCGACTTGGGAGAGCGGCCTCGTTCTCCTCCAGTGCTGTACGTCGACAACCAGGCTGCCATTGCCTTGTGTGAGGAGCACAGACTGGAGCACAGAACGAAGCACATCGCCCTGCGGTACTTCCTTGCTCGAGAGATGCAGCAGCGTGGTCAGCTTCGTCTGCGTTACGTGGCCACTGAGGCCAACCTTGCTGATGTGTTCACCAAGGCGCTTCAGCCTTGTGACCATCAGCGTTTCTGTACTCTTCTAGGCCTTGTGCCTGCTGGACCTCACTTACTTACTTCTTGACTCTGCTTGTACTGTGATCTTTATATATATGCCTGCATGTTTACACTTGCTAGGTTGTGATCACTGTATCTCTTGTTATATTATCAACCTGCATGTGAACTGGTCTTGTGACCACTTGCTCTCCCCCACTTTGCCTATGGGGGTGTGTCAAACATTATATATGTTGTGTTTGTTTAGGCTACAGTGGGTTAGCCTATAGGGGGTACACAATTCTAGGGTTAGGTACTTGTACTGATTTCACTGTTAGTTCAATCATTCCTGTCCGTTCATTATGACAGCTACACCAGGCGCGAGGTGAAGCGCGCTAGGAATCGCCAGTTGAAGAAGGCGATTCAACCAGCCATTGACTGAGCAGCATTGTTATAAGTGGCGAGCTTACACACGGCAACGAAGAGAGCGATAGCCAGGCAACGCTGGCCCAACAACACTTGCGGTCACCAAAAACAAGATCAAGCCCGCGAGCTCGCCCCCGTTTAACCATAATGTCAAGGCGACTATAGTTAAGGGGTGGCTGTTCGGCGTGGAGGTTTTCTTTACTGTAGTGTGAGTTGACAGCGATGCCACTCATATTACGCGGTTTTGCAGCTCCGAGGACCCGCCCTGGAGTGGCGGCGACGAACCTTTGATACCGAGACCCCACCAGGTGTGACACACGCAACAGACAGGACCTCAACATTGGCTGATTAAGTAGCAACGCCAATTTTCGGTGTCACCAAGATTTGCACGTGGAAGGAGTGGGGCGCAGTCTCGAAAGTTTGCTTCGAGCACGTATCCGCATCGAAGCAAGCTCGCATGAAGCTGCGTGCCTGGTCGTAGTTGGCTTCTGTTCAAGATTAGACGGCGTCATGCATGGCACTCGCCGACCAAGTGGATGATATGGCGGAGCCAAAGCGGTTGTATAAATACATCAGCAGCCTCAAATACAATATACAATACAAGGTTTGCCGGAGCTGCCCAACTACGTTCCTGGAAGCTGTACGGCTGGCAGAGTCTACAGATGTGTTGATGCAGTGGCCGAGGGCAGGTTCCCAGGAGTTAAACCGTTTTCGCGGACAGACTCAATGGGCCACATTTTACGGAGTTCAAGTGTGTGGGAAGCCGGATCACATGTCTAGAGACTACCCCGAGAAAATGAAGATGAAGAGGAGAGACGGGAAGGAGCAAGGAAATGGGAGAAGTTAGTAATTGACGGACCCCTTACTGACTGTGCTCTGTTGCCCGAACCCCACCATCCCCACCGAGTCGTGGTTCCCATTCATGCAATCGGTCGCACTCGGCCGAATCATGGGGATATTCACGTGGATCACCCTGTACTCGTCGTTGGCACAGTGTGGAAGGAGAAGAAGAAAAAAAATTCATTGATGGTTGGGCTAGCAATAGCCTCTGCGACTTAACTACAACAAAAAAACGCAAGTTGTAACTTGACAAGTGTCTACGAGCTCGCCTCGTAGATGAAACACCTTTGGCGATACTAGAAGAGACACGGACGATGCGGATTGAGTGCGGCGACGATTTCGGCTTCAGCATGAAGTTTCTCGCGACAACGCTGGGCGGCTGCGCCATGCTTCTGGAACGTGATTGGCCGCGAGAACACAACCTCATCATCGATCGAATGATGGGATCGTGCATCATCAGCAAGCAGAATGGGCTAATTAAGTTGCTTATATGAACCCCGGACTACATTTAGGCCCCGTACGTTAAAGCCATCACTATTGCCCGCCACTTCAACCGAGGCGCACAGCTGTTCGCAGTGTGTTTGCGCGAATTGGCAACCGACACCAACGGAAAGGTTATCGAGAACCTATGCGCAACTGTACCGCCCGATTTAGCAGAGCTGATTCGACAATACCCCGATAGCTTTCGCGTCGACCTGCCACATAGATTACCACCC